AGCCAAAAATCAAAAATAAAATTTATGCAGTATACTAGGGTGTAACTGGAGCAATATTTAAGAGGACTTACATTTAATGGCTGCAAGAAAATGTTTTCTACACGCCCACATAGGATTCAGATCCTTTTGTATCCTTTTCCATACCCATAATTGCAATTACTAAGCAAAGCATGCCATTTTAATTGGAATTGTTTGGTCCAAATAGTAACTGACATAAGTCTCTTGGGCATGTTCTCTTACACTTTTGTGACTGTAGGCAACAACCCCAGAATACAAAGCCTACCAAGAGCAAGTCCTCGGTAATTGCTCGAAGTTTGCACAGGTATTATTCAATGACATCTTGGGACCTGTAACTGAAGCAATCTTGTGCATACCAATCTTTTGTGGTTCAGAAAACGAACTTTTCGGCCAGCATGATACTTCAAATTGCTGTAGATTGTCTGACATTTACACTTCATATGCTACATAATGCTGAAATTTAACCAATCTTGCAGACTTTGACTGAGAAGGGCTATGATCTTGTTTCTGGTGGAACCGAGAACCACTTAGTTTTGGTGAATTTGAAAAGCAAGGTAAATGAAGAAAATTCTCTAGTGAACAGCTTGGTAACCTTCATGTTCCAAAATTCTGTCTGAGATATTGTCCAACCTTATGGGTAGCTAGTGCTTGGTGGCCGTTTCTGACAAAGTTGACANTGTTCCAAAATTCTGTCTGAGATATTGTCCAACCTTATGGGTAGCTAGTGCTTGGTGGCCGTTTCTGACAAAGTTGACACAGATATTCTACTATTTAGCTGTGTTTAAAGTCACTGTTAGTTGTGCTAATTATACATAATGAAAATATTGGTATCTAATTGTTGTGTTTCTACTAAGCTTTTATCTTGGAAAGAGGAAGATGCCACTTTTTATTTATGATTATTCTTTCTACAGGGTATTGATGGTTCCAGGGTTGAAAAGGTGTTGGAAGCTGTTCACATTGCAGCCAACAAAAACACTGTTCCTGGAGATGTGTCTGCCATGGTTCCTGGTGGCATCAGGATGGGTACAGGCTCCTTGCTTGATTAGTTTTTGCTTGTCTGGTCATGTTATAACTGACTCTCATGACAAACTTGTCTCTCAGGAACTCCTGCTCTCACTTCAAGGGGATTTGTCGAAGAGGACTTTGCTAAAGTTGCTGCATTCTTTGATGCTGCTGTGAAGTTAGCTTTAAAGATTAAAGCCGAAACCAAAGGTTCCAACATGATCATATGTCGTTGCCCAAGCACGCAATACACATGCATACATATATTCTATACATCTTGACTCATTTGTGTTGTCTCCTTTTACTTCTTGGAAACATCCATCTTTTTGTATGTGTTAATCTGTTGGGAATATGCACAATTCGTCATGCTCACTGCCTCGAGATTGTTTAGACTCCACTTATACATGAAGACTTGCACTCTCTGATTCAAATGACCATATGCATGGTTAATCTCAAGCATGCATAGTGCTAAAATTTCTGACTTGTGGAGCATGCTGGTTTTTCCTGTGACCCAGGGACAAAGTTGAAGGACTTTGTGGCCACGTTGCAGTCCAGTGATCCCATCCAATCCGAGACTACAAAGCTCCGGCATGAGGTGGAGGAGTATGCAAAACAGTTCCCAACTATTGGATTTGAGAAAGAAGCCATGAAATACAAAAACTGAGGAAGAAGTTCTACATGCCAGGTACTGTCTTCTTGAGGATTATAGGAGCTACTATGTAAAATGTCTGAAGCTCTGATTGTTAGTCTGTAAGATTGTTTAGTAAGAACTGCTAATTCAAATATTTTTCTCCTTAGTGGCACACGACGAATCTCTAAAACGTTCTGATTCTTTATTCATCATTTGTTTGTGGGAACAGGTAGCAGAATCGAAGATCAAATAATTTTACTACTTAGTTAATTGGGGATGAAGTTATATGTTGACTGTATATCAAGGATGTTTGAGATAACGGAGTGGTCATGTGGGCTTACTCCAAATGGTCACAGGCTCAAACCTCATCCCCTCCCAAAAAAAAAGAAAGATGTAATTTACTATCTTCATATGTATAAACTATAAAGTACTCCAGCAAAATGTTAATTTCCATATTCGCCCGAAGTGTATATGTACATTACCTGAGGCTCTATAACGCAATGAACTTGCTGTTGATTTCAATAAAGTTACTTTATGCATAAGCATAATGGTTTAAACAGACTTAAATCTTTGGGACTAGGTCCGAGTTCAAGGGATTAGTAGACATAAACCTGAATATCTTTTACCCTTGTTCAATTCCCTAACATTTAAAAATTAGATACATAACCCATCTATGTTTTTGAATGTTAGATTTTCCATCTAAATTGACAGGAATGCCATACAAGCTCGACCAAAGTGGTCTAGGCCTGGCTGAAATATATTTCCTCGAATTTTTTATTTCTAAATGACCAAAATGCCACTCAAACCAGTTTAGGATGAAGAGAGAATGGGACTGGTTCTGCCATGCAATAAACTCTCCAACAAAAGCAATAGTGAATCTTGATCACCAGTCTAAAAAAGCTTCTCCTCTCTCTCTAGAAATCAGTCACCAGTGCAGAAGATGACCAGAAGTTGCTGGGGTTGTGTTTCGGATCCGAATTGTGTTTACCAGCGCCCTTTTCCTTTCTTTCCCTCTTCATTCTCTTCTCTGTTCAAATCCTCTTCTTTCCTTCTCTCTATATTGTTGGCTTCAATAGGTGGATGTAAAAGTCTTATATTTATCACGAGTCTTGGGTTCAATTCAAGCACGTTTGAACACATTGCTATCCGTTTTTTTTCTCCAATTCAAGCACCAGGGGGTTATGAGAGATGTGAAGATCAATGTTAAAGAGGGTAGAATTGCCATTTTTGCGTTTTTGTTAATGGAGTTACCAATTTCATTTTGATATAGAAACATAGGGGGGTTTTGTATCTATTTTTAAACGGTAGGGAGGTAATCCGTTTCTGGTTCTGACCACATTGAGGAGAAAATATACGGTGCTTGGTGGGTATCAAGCTGGCATGCTTATTTGGTACTCGTTGAGATACATGCAGGGGCGGAGCCGGACATCTTATCCGGTGGGGGCAATCTAAACTATATTAATATTAAATTTTAAAATATTCACAAAAGTATAGTTTTATTAATAAAACACCAGTTAAAGACGCAATTTATATACATGAACGATAAACAAAATGAGCCAACAAAAAAAAACCTTATTATAGATTTATCTATAAGACATAATAAAAAAAATTTGAACCGCAAAATTGGGCTCAATTATATATTAAATTTTAAGAAAAATTTTTATAACTAATTCAAAAATTAATTTGTTCAATCACAAACTTAATATTCATCATTAAATTTTATCAAACAATCGAAACTAACTTACACTATAATTATTCTAGTAAATTAAACCTAGATATATGAAATACTTAACTTATCACAATAAAACTATTCAAACTACCAAATCAAAATAATTTAGTCTAATTATAATGGAGGACTACAAGTCCCAATTTCAATTCTACGAATAAAAATAAAACAAATGAGACGACTACAAGTCCTAATTTCAATTCAACATATAAAAATAAAATACTAAAGAGGACTACAAACTCAAATATCAATTAAATATATGAAAAAATAAATCATAGAAGAGGACTACAAGCCCCAATTTTATTTCAACATAGAAAAATAAATATAAGACTACAAATCCTAGTTTCAATTCAATAAATACAAAATAAAACATAAGAGATGATTACAAATCCCAATTTTATATTTTCAATTCAACATGTAACAAATAAAATACAACAGAAAGCTACAGGCGCTAATTTTAATTCAACATTTAAAAAATAAACCACAAAAGAGGACTACAAATCCTAATTTTTAATTCTAACATATAAACATCAAACAAAGAAGAGGATTACAAGCCCTAAATTTAGTACGATGTATAAACATAAAACAAATAAGAGGGCTAACATATTTCGTAACATATTAGTTAATATTTAAATGCTCAAAATTTTGATATTATCTTTTATTGATATTTACAAGTGAGACTCATATATTTGTCAAAATAACATAACTACCCTTAAATGTTTTAAAAAAAATTTAACGGGGCAAATATCTAATAAATTATAAATTTTTTAAAATCATACTTAGTCTCCAAAAATATTTAAAATTCCAGTGGGGTTAGCTATCCCATTGCCCCCACTGTGGATCTGCCACTGGATACCTGGTAACTATGGTGCCCCCAACGACAACATTAAGTCAGAGTCCAGAATGGATGGATGTAGTTTATGACAATTAATTGCAATCCTCTTCGTATCAAAATAACATGCGGAGAGATGCCTAGAAGATATTTTGTCGGGTTTGGCTCCACTATGGTAAGGGAGTTAAAGCATGATATGCGATTTAATTAAATGACATCGTTTTCGAGTTGATTTTGAAATTTTTTTTTTTTGGTTAATTGTACCAGAGTCTCTAAAATATAAAATTTGTCTCATTTTGGTTCTTAATAATTAAATTGCATCATTTTGATCCATGAAGTATTGAATATATTTCTATGTAGTTCCTCATGTAGACAACGTCCATATTGTTAATAATTTTTTATTATAAACTTGTCATGTAATACCTAAATATGAGTAAAAAATAATAATTTAGATAAATCTTCACCAAATTTCTGCGTGAATTCTAATCAAAAAGTTACCCAAATTATACAGTTTTGATCATGAAATATACAAATTTTGATTAAAAGTTATTCATATTACACATTTTGATCAAAAATTACTCAAATTATTTATTATTCATATTTAGGTATTACATGACAAGTTTATGATTAAAAACCATTAGTAATTTGGATGTTGTTTGTTTGAGAGATCACATAAAATTATATTCAATACTTCAAGAACCAAAATGATGTAATTGAAATATTGAGAACCAAAATAAGACAAACTTTATACTTCGGGGATTTTCAATACAATTAACCATTTTTAAAACAAAAAAAAAACCCTTACCAGAAATGACGTCATTTCTAGTCCATGGCATATCAAAATCAGAGATCACCTTTTCTCCCGTTTTTTCTTTGTCAAACAGTCTTCCTTCTCCCTCCTTCCCCAAATAGTTTGTCTTCTCCCTCCTTCTCAGAATTAGAGATCCCCTTTTCTCCTGCTTCTTCTTCGTCAAATGACAGTACGGTATCGAAACCAGATTTCGTGCATATTGTTCATTTTCATTTAATTCTTTCATTCGTTTTTGTTGTTTTCATTTCATGCTTATGTGTATGTTTTATTATTTCATTAATAGAGCTATTTTCTGATTATATAGCTTCTCAGTATATGCATATGTGTGGTTTTTAAGTTTGGGTCAAGACCTTGTTGAGTTAATAATATTTGGCTGGGGGATAATGTGTCTGAAAACAGACCTCATATTGATATGTAATTTGATACTGAAAAAGATGTTTATGTGTTTTATAATAATTATGGAGGGACTTTGGGATTTAGCGTGATAAAAAAAATTTAGAATAAAAGTTTGAAAGATGGTGTTGTCATTTACAGAAAATGTTTGTTGTAAACAAGTTCAAAGTGTTTGTGATAAAAGAGCGTGGTAAATAAGGAAACCTCTAGCAGAAGCGTGAATAAATTGTCAAGCTCATATGTGCATATCTCTTAATAGAGAAATTGACAAATTTGTTGTGGTGAAATGAGACAACAACCATCGTTTGCAATTTGTTGAATGTATATATATGATGTCACCTCAACAGAATGTTATCGGAACATAAGACATTAATATTGATATGACAGCGGATTGTGGAATATCACTGAAGGTTTCCTATAACTTTTAAGTACTCAGTTGGGAGGAAGGAAAGTCTAAGTTTTACTCGTCAAGACCAAAAAAATTGCCTCCATGAAATGCGACAATTAGGCTTGAGGTAAGGTGAGATGGGTAGTTTGTTGAAGTATTTTCAAACAGAAATAGTTAAAAATCCATCATTCTATTATAGAGTGCAATTGGATGTGAAGGATCATATTACAAATATTTTTTGGGCAAACCTAAAGATGATTATTGATTATGGCAACTTTGGGAATGTTGTCTCATTTGACACTACTTTTAGAACGAACAATGAGTATCGACCCTTTGCTTGTTTTAATGGCTTTAATCATTTTAGGGATACAGTCTTATTTGGAACTGCATTAATGCAGGGTACTCCGAGTGATTCAACACATTGCATTCTTTAAATGATGTTGAATCATTTTTCATGAATGAATTCTTCGATAATGATTTGCGACATATACAATGAGCAACAGTTGTAAGGATTCTTGGGGGATACAAGTTGCTTGTTGAATTAAGAGATACTAGATGCATGGGGGGATAGCAGTTGGAATGACATTTTGTTAGAAATAATGTATTTTGTATTTTTAATAAACATGATCATGATGCATGATTGTGATTATGTGCCTTTTTTTTAATGAACATGATCGTTTTTAATGAACACGATCTTTTTTAATAAACATGATTTTTTTTCCAAGTCATAACGCTATATAAAACCCACAAGTTTATTCAAATTAAACAAGTTTATTCACAACACGAGTTCCATCATTACATCATTGCTCCTACATCTCTACTTCACTAGAATCACAAACATAAACATTATTACTAGTAACATGGCTACAAACATAAATGACTT